AAACAGTGCATGTTTGTAGACACCATGTCATTAATTTTTTTTTTTAATTGAGCACACTATAAATTCAGCACAGTAAGTAGGTCACTCTAAACATCTCTCAATAATATAATATGATATATTAAGGCCAATATGCAATGTTCTTCAACCATTAAATAAAACCAACGTCAATTTTGGGTCATGTTTATTCTGAAAAAACTTACAGCACTACTGACTCATGATGATCATTAAACTTCTTAAAGAAATCAATGGTAACATCCTTTTCATCATTTTCAATATTGTGTTCCATACTTATCTAATATTTATAAAAGTTGAATGCTTATTATGCCTCATAAAAAGCAGTCCATAAGAAACCGAACAATCTAAATGATGTTCGTTTAATAAACACATTAACATAGCCTACCATATCTCATACCAATGAACTAGGAAAAAAATAAAGATCCATGCGTATAACAGATACAAGTCAAGCAATAATAATCAAGCCATTAAAGCTTACAATGCATCTAAATTATACATTTTAAAAATAAGCATGGCTAAATATTCTAATATAAATAAATTACTATGGAATAACAAACTCGCCAATCAGTACTCCATTCATTATTATTATTATTACTTTAAAGATAATAATATAAGATAAATGTCACACTTGCAGCTTTTAAACTCAAAAATGCACAATAAAGACCTTCATTTGTAACCGTGCATTGAAGAAACCTTAATTTGATTAAATAATCAGTTACTTCTCAAACTTTTTAACCACATGTCAACGTATATATCCATAATAATTGAGTCAGAAAATTTACCTGAAGAACATAGCCTTCCACAAAAGTAAATCATTTCCCAAAGATGATTAGGACAGCGTTCTTGTTTGAGTGTTATGCTCAAATGCATCACTGTAGAGGTCTTAAGCGAGTTTCCATTTTGGGGCTATTTTGGCATTGTTAGTGTTGATCATATTCAGCATTGCCTACATGAGTGTTTGCCACTGTGCTCACATACACCCTAACATCCAATTTTGTTTGTAAATATCAGCGAAACTCACTGCCTCAACACACACCTCCACTGGGTTTGGGTTCACCAAGCCTAATACACCCTCATCACCAATTACATCCACAAGGATATAATTGTTAATAGCTCCCCATGAGCACCTCTCAAGTCAACGTTGTAGTAGATCAATGGTGTAAGCTTTTGTGACCACCAACTTCTTAGGACCAGACTCCAATCAATAGCAATACATGCTTTTAAGTCAACCCATTGGATTTAATCAATCTAGAAAGTCAAAGGAAAAAGATGCACACACTCATTACGTGGATTAACTCATTATTTCAATTTTTTTCCATAGTTTAATAACAAAAGGTCATAAAACAATAAACAAATATCCAACATGAATTGTCATTTCAAATGCCTTGCCACTTTTAAGCAAGAAAAGCAAGTGCATGTCTATATATATTTATATAATATTTTCATGCCATGCATATTTTAAATATCCAAAGTATTTTTTGTTATCTAAATTTTGCTGCCACAAATCATAGTGTGATCTAATAAACAAATATTAAAAAACAAAGCAGGGATACAGAACAACAAAAATTTACAGAATATATTCAAATAATTGTACAATAAACTAGTGTGATAGAAGAGGAGAGAAAGATCAAAAGTACCAAGGCTCTCTTTTTGAACCTGTGCAAGCGTTGTCTTTTATAGGCAGATCTCATAATGTTAGGTAATAAAACCACCTTAATTACAATTAAAAAGCAGTTTCAAATAATAATGTTGTTTACATTATATGTTATAAAATAATAAATAGACTTAAATAATAATTAATATTATTAATTTATAATAATTCCTTTTGAAATACTCAAAAATATTTATAATATCCAACAAAGTTGAGAAGAATGACAAATTTCAAAGCACAGACCTGGTAATATTTTTGTAATGTCCTTCCTTTACTTTCCATTTACTTTGGTTTCTATACATTTCATGCTAAGATAAGCTCAATTGTTAAAGTTATGGGCAGCGACACTCAGTTTAACTAGCTAATTTACAACCCTTCAATTTATAACTGGAATCTTATCTTAATTACTTGTATAACTAATCCGCACATAATGGTAAATACATGCAAAAGCCATATAATTTGTAACAACGTCCATATCGAAGCCATTCTGGGCAGAAGAATAGTACTGATCATAGTAAATAAGAAAAATTCTCATTTCACAATGAAGTAAAATATTAAAACTTAAAAAACCGTTATCTTAAGAATAGATAAAAAGAACTAGTAAAGTTGGTTAAGTTGATAAAAATTTAGCCTTAACATATGAGGTCGTAAATTTAAATCCTGTTATCAATATAAAGACTCAAGACCAACTCATCTAAACTTTCTGTTACATAAAAAATAATAGATAAAAAGAATTTCAAAATAGATACAAGCTCTAGTATTTTAGGTCTTTGACACGAATTAATACGGTTAGCAGCTTACTACCTATTGATAATTTAATTATTGTTGTGTGTCTAGGGCTCAAGCTCAAAACCTTTGATTAAAAGAACCAACCCCTATCCAGTTGCTTCATGCATCCAATGGTTAGAGATTAATTTGTAAATATAATAATTGCAATTTCATAAAATCCCCAGACCCAAAAAAAAAATATATAGAACTTTAGGCGACAGACACAAAACTAGTTTTGGCCTGAAAAGAAAAAAAGAAAGAAGGGAAAATATCACTGAAGATCCCTTTACCAGACATAATAAAAAAAAAAGTCCCTGATTTATGAAACTTCATTACAAGTCTAGGGTATTAAGTTAAAATTAAAATTCAATGACAAGATTGTCCTTGCCTCTTTGCAAGTAATTCAGCTGAAACAAAGCATGCTCTTGCCTTGGAGAGTCAATGATTCCAGTGACAGCATTGCTTTTGCTTCAGAGAAGCTATGCCGGTTGCCAATTTGACAACAAAGCTCCTAGTCCAACAATAAGATCCAAGAGAACAAGAACAACCATCTCGTCTCTATGCTTTTCTAATCATTCCTCTTCTATTTCATTCTACAGTGGAGGATTATGAGGAAGATAATAAAGTGATGACTTCTGATATTTTAATGAATTTAATAGTATTTTTAATGCAATTGGAAGTCATCTTATAGAATTAATTAGCAAATATATGATTAAGTGGATAATTATTTGTGAGATTGGAGGTGGATAAAGTTCAAGACAATTGTTGAAGTTAGTGAATCAATTATGGTATTAAATTTGAGTTTTATTCATAAAGGGAGGTCCAATTTATGGGCCTAAAATTGATAATTTTGAAGCCCACAAGAAATTGGATTCTGCCCAATGATATTGCAACATCAATTTTGGATGTTGTGACATTTAAACCAGTTTTTAGCAAAACGCACAGATTCACTTAAAATCGTGTTTTAAGAGTTTTTGGCAATCATTTCCATTCCACTTCATCTTCAACCAGCAACTGCACGTCCAGGAAGCATTCTAAGGTGGAGAAAGAGTTGGAGAAGCTTGGGAAATACTTGGGTCTTACAATTTGTGATAGAAATCATCCCTACTAAGCTTTCTTCTTCCTTTTCTTTGTATTTTGATGTATATTTTGTTGAATATTGTTGCTTTATACTATTTTAATAGCTGTTAGTGGTTGAACACGTTTGACCTAGAGCAACTATAAACTTGTTGGTGGATTAGAGCTTGTTTTTACCCATTGGTTATACTTAATATTAATTTTGGTTGCTCAATCTTGCAATTATTTATCTATTTAATGTTTGGCCACTATTAATTATGAATTTGGGTATTGGGTTTTTTCCTTGACAAGGGAATCTCATTTGGACCTTTAGATTGAGTAATAGGAGATTAAATTATGATCTAATTCATAATTAGGATAGAAATATACCTAATTACATCATATAATTAAATTAGAGTGAGTTGGAATTAAAGTTGCCTCTTGAATAATTTTGTTAGAAATAACATAATTAATTTGAGAGAGGGTTATTTGAGATTCGAAAGGCCCTTATAGCCATTAATATTCTAGATTAACAAAATTAGCATTAAAATTAATTAATTGGATAAAAGGCAAGATCTATGAAGCTAGTAAGGGATTAGTGACTCTAGGTTATATTGGACATTTGTAGTTATTGGATTGGAAATCTTATTGCATTTTATTCATTTCACTTTTTAATTTTGCTTAATCAATCAATTCTAATTGGTTTTGCTTAATGTTAACCAAAATGAAAACTTTATTGCTTAATTGCTATTATGCTTGATTCCTTATAGAATCGACTTTGACGCACTATTATATTGCACTTTGACCTATACACTTGCAGTGAAACTTTTTTTGTGCATTATTAAGTGCTAATTTGATACCGATAGAACATGCTCATGCCGGTACAGGTTTCATGTTTGATCAACAAAATTAAATTCCTTTCAAGACTCGTTTAGGAGAGATTCTTAGTTAGGAATCCTAATAATGAAGAAGTCACTAATCTTTAGATGTGTTCGTTCAAGTCTTGGGGAGAAATTTAAAAAGCTTTACTACATGCATCCTCCAACTTTAGAAGCTGATGATCCACCTTTTCTTAAATCCTATTGCTGGTGAAGAAATGCTCAAAGACTTAGCTATTCAAGATTTCTAGTATATTTGATTTCAGAGCATCATTTAGAGTGTAGAGAGACAAGGACAATCTTGTCATTTTCAACTGAATTTTAATTTCAATTGAATAGCCAGGCTTGTAGGATTTCAAAAATTTAGGAGCCTTTTATTTTATTTTATTTGGTTAAGGGATCCTAGTGAAATTTTGCCAAGATAGAAAGACAAAAAACCTGATTGGCGGGACCGTCCAACACAGTCTCATTCAATCTCGACACATGGTGTGTTATGCCACGTGTGCAACAGGACAAGCCCCATCTGACACGTGGCTCTTCTTCCCTGCTACGTGTCGTCACTCTCATACCCACCGATCTATTTCTATCCTGCTCCTGCTTCAACCGAACCTACCTATCTCAGATTTCTCAGATATATCACAACTGTGACACATTGATCTATTATACTTACAAAGAAATCACATACGGCGACCAAACTAAACACGCAAAAAATGATGAACCTCGTAGCTCTCTGTCTTGTAATGGCTTCCCTCGCCGGAGCAGGTGTCTTCTCTCCCACCCCACATGTCCGTCATAACGACGCCGGCGAGCAGACTATCGTCAAGGAAGGTCACAGAGTGGTTGTGGTGGAATACGACGAAGGCGGCCACCGTAACACCAAAATCTCCATCACCCCAGATCATCTACCACATGGCAGCGAGAAATTCATCTACGGCGCCGGAGCCGGCGATCACTCAGGCACCAAGGACAGAATAAAAGAAGCTGCTTCAATTCTCCCCAACGTGGGCCAAGGCCTCTCTCAGGATTTTCCCCATAATGATAACCAGTATCGTTCATTTCTTCACAGTACTCCTAAGGAGCTCATTTGCGACGCTTATGGAAAATGCAAGCACAAGATCTCCGACGCCATAGGAAGAACGAAAGAGAGTGCAGAAGAAGCCATAGACACGTCGAAGGATGAAGCAGAAGAAGTTCGTGAGACTATCTCCGATGCAGCTGGTAAGGCCAAAGATACTGTGTCACATACAGCACATAACGTTCGAGCAAAAGCTAAAGATGCTTTGAAAGGAGCCAAAGAAATTGGTGAAACTGTGGCAGATTCAGTTGGTAAGGCCAAAGAAACAGTGTCACATAGGACACATTACGTACAAGAAAAAGCAAAAGAGACTCTGAAAGAAGCCAAGGACACAGGTAATACTTTCAGAAAGGATGTTTCTGGAAATGTTTCAGAAGCCGTGAAGAATGTTAGGAGCTATATAGGATCATCAAAGGAGATGCTAGATCAAGCGATGAGTGTGGCAAATCTGATGGGTTTCGCGACTGCTTATGGATTGTGTGTTTGGGTTACGTTCGTTTCGAGCTATGTGTTGTCCAGGGCTATGCCAAGGCAACAATTTGGAGTAGTTCAGAGTAAGATTTACCCTGTTTATTTCAGGACTATGGCTTATAGTGTTGGATTGGCTTTGTTGGGGCATGTTTTGAGGCATAGAAAGACTCTGTTTTTCAGCAAAGCTGAAATGTTGCAAGCCTATAATCTTCTGGCCTCGCTTTTCACTGTTTTTGTCAATTCCATGTACTTGGAGCCTCGTGCCACAAAGGTATATATCATTATCATATCATCAACTTTTGTGTTATTGATGATGCGTAGGTCTTCATGTGAAAAGTTCCAAGTTTCTCTGTCTGCACTTAAGTAACAGCATATAATTGAATGGGTTTGGTAGGTGGTGATTGATAAGCTAGGAGTATATAGCATCATCTTTAAAATTTAATTTTGAATTGGTATCAAAAGTTGATCAATTATATATATATATATATCCTTGTGTCCTCAAAGCGTACTTTCAGCAGCACTCTAATTAATGAGGCCTATCTCTCAGAAGCTTTATATATCAAACTCAGGATCAATAAGTGCCCATGTTATGGTTTGACTTTTTAACTGGGTAGGCGAGCGCGCCCGCGCGCCCACAGCTTGTTCTCAACTCCTGCGCGAGCTTGATTTGCTTTGTGCTGATGAAAGTGAAAGAGTAGGCTAATAATTTGGTCTGGCCTAGTGAGTTTTTGTCTTTTCATTTAACAAATTTCTCTTTCAAGTCACTTGACCAAAAGGATTAAGTGAGCAATGACTAGATGAGTCAAGCGAGGCTTTTTGCACTGCATTAGTCTGTTTATATGTTAATGACCTTGGCATTATTTATAATCCTTCAATGAATGAGTGTATATATGTGTGTGTGTGTGCCTTGTTTTATTTGACTGAATGTTCAAATGATAATAATAAGATTACTTGGGTCTTCATCATCATTCCTCCTCTGTTAATGTATTACAGGTTATGTTTGAGAGGATGAAAATAGAGAAAGAAGAAGGAAGGGGAAGGGGAGATTTTACCGCTGAACTTAACAAAGGGAGTCAGCACACTACCCGGACAAATCCAGCCGCCACTGCGCCGACAAAGGAAGGAGGAGAGAAAGACGTGATCCGATCCAGGATTATTAGACTGAACGACAAGCTGAAGAAGCTAAATTCATATTCATCACTGCTGAATATTCTGAACTTGATGTCTCTAACTTGGCATCTGGTTTATTTGGCTCAATGTCTTCACCATGATTGTTGAGCCAAATAGAGGGCAGTAAATTTTCTATGTTGGTGCTTGAAAATATATGGTTGGTTTCTTTTCTTTTCTTTTCTTTTCTTTCTTTTTGTTTTTTTTTTTTTTAACTTCTGTATCTTCCAGGTTTTACGTGTTTAGTTACAGAACATCGTGTTGCAGCGTCCAGACTAGATACACCTTAGCTAGATATAGAATTGAAGCTTGCTTTAGAGACATGTAGGAAATTGCTTGTGCTGTGTTTTTCAGATCTGTACAAAGAAGTGCTTCAGTGTTAATAGAAGAAGTTGCAGCTTTAGTTTAGATGTGAAACCTTGCCAATTCCATCACCACTTGGATATACATGCCTGACAAACATTTTACAAGGTATCTTCTTCGCCCCGAGACACAGTCATACAGGGACGGAGCCAAATTAAAAAAATAAATATAAAAAGAAAAGAAAACTTTGGGTAGTGAGAATTATAATTAATGAATAATTATAAAAATATTTTAAATATTTATTAACTGAAAAAAGTAATACGATTTAATTAAGTTTCTATAATATTCTGGTCAAGGGTTTCTATAAATTGATCTTATAGGTTTCATGAGTAATAGCAAAAGTTAACTTTGATTGTTGGTCAAAAAAATTATAATAAATAATTCAAAAATTATAGATAAGAACTTAAAAAATTACATAAAAGGATCAATTTTTTTTTCTTTTTCCATAATTTTTGATTTCTTTTTTGATATTTTTTGGTCAACAGTCAAAGTTTTTTTTTTTTTCAAATGATGGCAGTTAAACTGTTAAATTATATTGTTTTTAAAATTTGAGAGAATAATTTAAACAATAAATAAATTTAGGGATTTATAGTGTTATTGGACTTGAAATTCAGGGAGTTGTTTTGCTCATTTATGTTCTTAATTTCTCTCTTAATTCCATGTATACAAAGGATGGTAGTGATAAAAAAGTACTGATTCAACTAATTAAAAAAGCTAAATTGACTTTTCTTGTGATCTCGAGTTTGAGTTATAAAATAAGTAATTATGATAAATAAATAAATATGTCAAAGGCAACTTTGAGGCAATTTAAAGCCGTCATTAGTAATAATAATCACATATATGGTAAATAAATAAATATGTCAAAGGCAACTTTGAAGCAATTTGAAGCCGTCATTAGTAATAATAATCACATATAATGGGATTGTGAATTAGTTTAAACAAAAAGTGATAATTTCTTTCCATGATGGAAAAAAAGAGGGTGGTGATAAATCTTAAGCCTTAATTGTTTCGCTGCAATCACGGTACATTTCAATTAGCGAAAATAACTATTAAAGATTTCATAAGATAGTTAATCATAATTAAATTATTAATATCTTGATGATGAAACATTACCCTTGTTTAAAATAAACATGAATTTAAAATTTAAAAAAAAGGACACAATTAAAATTATGAGTTAGAATTATTGTTAATCTTAATTAAAAAAATTAAAAAATACATTTGAAAATGAATTATTTTTTATTATGAAACTAAAATTTACTTATAAAATTTTCTAAAGGTACATGTGAATATATGATAATCATTGAAAAATTTATTAAAGTCACTTTTGAATAAAAAGTTAATCACTTGTAAATTTTTATGTTTGTCAATACAAAGGTAAATCACTTGAAAAATCAGCAAAATAAACTATTAAAATTATTTTCATGAACTGTGATTATTGTTAATCTCAATTAAAAAAATTAAGATTTCAAGTGTTATGGGATGGGACTACTGAATTTACTATTATAAGTTGAAACTATTGTTAATCTTATTTTTAAATGTGAATCCTGTTTTTTTCAACCAAAATTAATAATAATCATAACTTATAATAATTATTACATATATCTTAGAGCTTCATTTTGATTAGGGCCTAAATTAAGATCAATCTTTAAAGGATTAGGGCCTAAACAGACTGACCTTATAAAATTTAATTATATCTTAGAGCTTCATTTTGATTAGGCTGGCCCTGACCTTATGTATTTTTATTTCTTAATTTAAAAACTTAAAAATCAAATTTAAAATCTTAAAAATTATTACATCTAACATTAAATCTATAAAAACAAGTTTAAGTAAAATAAAAACAAAATTATAAAATTAATGCCAATAACAATTAGCTATCATCATCCATGAAATTTTGATAATTTTTATTATCATTAATATTAATATAATTTTATCATCCATGAAATTTTGATGATTTTTATTATCATTAATATTAATATAATTTTATCCTTCTTTTTATGAAGTCTCAATAGTAATAAAAATATTAAGTTTGTCATATATTTCTTCTTCATCCCCCCTAAAATGAGATTAAGATTTTAACATCAGTATAGTATTTAATTTTTTAATATTAAAATTTAAAAAATTATAAAAGAAATTTAAAAAGACCGACTTTAACCTTAAGAGATTTCCCTTTTATTTTAATGCTTGAAATAATTTTAAACTTAAATTATTATTTTACATTTTAATACAGCGAACTGACTCTAAATTGTTTTAAGTTTAAAAGGGCCCGTCACATGAGTACATCTACCCTACCTTTGAATTCTCTTCGTTGGAAAATGGACTGTGTTGTCTTTGGCATGTGACTGTGTGTGCTATCACGGGATCTAATTGACAGCTATACATCTACCCACCTCTGAATTCTTTTTATTAGAAAATGGACTGTCTTGTCTTTGGCGTGTGACTGATTGACTGTGTGTGTGTAGATTCATCTCTCCATATGCTGTGGCCCAGAGACCAGAGTACCTCAATTTTACATAAATTTCTCTTCAGACACCACTTACGACGCTACTCCTTAATCAATCAACATGGAACAAACCATAGTTCTCTATCCAGCTCCAGGCATAGGCCACATAGTCTCCATGGTTGAGCTAGGCAAGCTTCTTCTTCTTCATCATTCCAATTCTTTCTCCATCACCATCCTCCTCACCACCGGCCTTCTTGACAAGCCCTATCTCGATTCCTACATCCGCCGCATCTCTCACTCCTACCCCTCCATCTCCTTCCGCCGCTTCCCTTTCCTCGCCGTTAAACCACCGGCCGTCGCCTCATCACATCCCAGCCCTTCGGCCATCGCCTTTGAATTCATTCGCCTGAACGACGCCAACGTGGCTTCAGCGCTCAAGGACGTCTCAGAAAAATCCAATATTCAAGCTTTCGTCATAGATCTGTTCTGCACATCCGCCATGAACATAGGTTCTTCTCTCGGGATCCCTGTTTACTACTTCTTCACCTCTGGAGCCGCCGTTCTTTCCGCTTTCTCGTACTTTCCCAGAATTCACGAGCAAACCACCAAGAGCTTCAAGGATCTCTCTGTAGATCTTCACTTCCCTGCTAATCCCCCGCTCAAGGCCTTTCACATGGTAGAACCAACGCTTGACAGAGATGACCCAGCATATTGGGACTTCTTGAATTTCTGTTCCCATCTTCCAAAATCAAGTGGCATCGTGGTTAACACGTTTCAAGAGCTCGAGCCTGTAGCTGTTAAGGCTATAGCAGAAGGCAAGTGCTTTCCAGATCCAAAACAAGCACCTCCGGTTTACTACATCGGGCCTCTAATTGCAGAGCCAAATGACCGAATCGAAGACGAAGGAGAAGGAGAACATCGTGGAAGAATCGAGAACTGTTTGTCGTGGCTTGAGAAGCAGCCGAGCAGAAGTGTTGTTTACTTGTGTTTTGGAAGCCGTGGGTCGATGTCAGTGGCGCAATTGAAGGAGATCGCTCATGGATTGGAAAGGAGCGAGCAGAGATTCTTGTGGGTCGTGAAGAAGCCACCCAGTGATGAGAGAACGAAGCAGACGGAGGACACGAGAGTAGATTTCGATTTGGATAAGATATTGCCAAGTGGGTTCATGGAGAGAACCAGAGATAGAGGGATGGTGGTGAGGTCGTGGGCCCCACAAGTGGAGGTGCTGAGAAGGGAATCGGTCGGAGGATTCGTGACTCACTGTGGGTGGAACTCAGTGCTGGAGGCGGTGGTGGCCGGAGTGCCGTTGATTGCGTGGCCGCTGTACGCGGAGCAGCACATGAATAGGAATTTGCTGGTGGAAGAGATGAAGATGGCGATAGGGTTGGAACACAGAGAGGAAGATGGGTTCGTGAAAGGTGAGGAATTGGAGAAGAAAGTGAGAGAACTGATGGAATCTGAGGGAGGAAGAGAGATGAGGGCAAGAAGCTTGAAGAGGAGAGAGTTGGCTGAATCTGCAAGAGGCACCTTGGGTTCATCCACCAAAGCGTTGAACAACTTGGTTGAATCGTGGAGTAATGGCCGTTGATTTTTCTTTTCATTTTTTTTCCTTTTACTTTTATATTACTCCTCCGTACTAAAATGTATTTGACATTTTTAATTATATTTAAATTAATATTTTTTATATTTATTATTATTTAATAAAATATCTCACCAAAGCAAAAAAATTTGGTGTTTTATTTGTTAAATATATTTTAAAAAACTCATTAATTATCTATTAAAAATTATAAATTTTTTTGTGTGGTTCTTTGATGATATTTTTAATCTTAATAAATTTTTTTAATATGTGGATAAATAATAATTTATATTTTAATTTATTTATCTTTTTTTTTAACATTCCATGTAAATATTTATGCTTATCATTGTATTATTTTAATATATAAAATTTAAAATATATTAATTTATTAATCAATGGTTGGACCATTATGCGATTTTGATTGAACCAATGAATTATGAATCATTATCTTGATTGATTCAATGATCAATATAATTTTTAAAATATTAATATTTAATAAAATTTATTAATACTTGAGATTTTATTTAAAAGTATATTTTATAATTTGAGGCAAAAGGGATATTATTTATGAAAACTTATTACATATAAGATCTAGATGTTATAATGATGTTTGTTCTTTTTTTTTTTTTTGTTTTATGGATGTAAATGAAAATATTATTAATTATTTCTGTCTTTTTATGGTTTATCTTTAATACAAATATAATTGGAAAATAGTTTCAAGTTTTTTACTCTCTCCATTTAAAAATGTAAAGCATTTCTTAAGAAGTTAGATATTAAAAAAATGTAAAGCATTTTTAATCTTTTGAAATGTAATCATCATCTTTTTTTAAAAGTGTCCCTATTGATAATAATTTTATATTTATTGTAAAATATTTAATAAAAGTAAATATAAAAAAATAGGGTTAGTTTAGAAATGGATAATTATTTTATTAGGAGTGAGATTTGATTAAAAATATTTTATATTTTTAAATAAGGAGAATAATTTTTTATGAATCTTTCACCCTCAATCCTATTTAAGTTTCAACTAGGTCTCATTGCGGAAGGTTTCTAACGCTTAATCCTCCTAAAATAGTATCCTTGGTCATTAATTGACAATCATTTTCGAGGTCATTTACCAAAATGTCCATAATTTAAAAACAACAAGGATATAGTTTTTACTTGTTAGAAAGGATTGTTAAAGTAGAAAGACATGTGAATTCGTTAAAACAAAGTTGTGAATTTTAATTGTGTGTGTGTGTTAATAGTTAATGTTTGTGCCCAGTACAGTACACACACATATATATGCAATTTGTGGGTCTGATGCTTTAATTAAATGTTGTGTTCGGATTAAGTTGTGACATTTAAAAGAATACAAACACCTTTACACAGTTTTGAATTAACTCTATAATAAGTTTGTTTTGCAAACGACTTCATTCAGGACCATAGATCAATTTGTGACTCTAATGCTTAAGTCATGAGTTGTTAATTTTAGAAAAAGCACCTTGTGAATTTGCTAAAATTGTAAGTTTAATAGGCTAGTCATTATTAATTAACTATGTTCCACCCTCAACTAACTTGTGAAAATTGCTGGCCAAAAAAAGGGGAAAAAAATAATAACTTGTGAAATCGATGCTGCTCAGTTAATGTTTTTTCTTAGGAGAGAATTGTAATTTCAAGCCTTCAGAGATTTTCAATTCGCGGGGGAAATTCAATTTAAGTTAAAAAAAAGAAAAAAAATCACTAAGGGGTCCCAAAAGATATTTAATTTTCAAAGAGTCCCATGAAATGCAAAAATAACTCTTTAACCCCGCAAGCCTTACAAAAATTAACCGTTAAGTCCCATGAAATATCAAAAAAAAAAAAAAAAACTCAGAATTATAAATAAATTTTGGTATACATCTACTAAAATATCCTTATTTAAAAAAATAAAAATTTCTTCATATGGAGATTTTGGTGCTAAGGTCGTTTTGATTAAAATTAAAATTTTTTAGTTTTCAAAGTTATTTTTACATTTCATAAGACTTTTTTAAAAATAAATTTCTTCTATGAGACAGGGTGATTTTCTAAAAACACTGAGAGGAAATTTGATATAAATAGAATTACATGAAGAAGATGATAAAAGGTCACAAAATCATATGCACACACATATATAATAGTAATATTAATAGTAATATACAGGTTTACGAACAATTCCAAAATTAAGATACCTAAATTTATAGATATAAAATGAACAAGAGACAAACTGACAAAGTTGAGACTCTAATACTATAGTTAAGAAGCGCATTCGAATTTCATATATAACAGATAATAATATAATGGTTGTCTTCCACAAACGAAAAATCAATGATCAGTATTCCATGTTTCAACCAAGCTGTTCAAGGCTTGGGTTGATGAACCAGATATACCTTTTGCGGATTCAGCGAAGATTTTCACCTTCAAGCTTCTTTCCCTCATCTCTCTTCCTCCTTCAGATTCCATCAATTCTCTCACTTTCTTCTCCAATTCCTCACCTTTCACGAACCCATCTTCCTCTCTGTGCTCCAATCCTATCGCCAACCTCATCTCTTCCACCAGCAAATTCCTATTCATGTGTTGCTCCGCGTACAGCGGCCACGCAATCATCGGCACTCCGGCCACCACCGCCTCCAGCACCGAGTTCCACCCACAGTGAGTCACGAACCCACCGACCGATTCCCTTCTCAGCACCTCCACTTGTGGGGCCCACGACCTCACCACCATCCCTCTATCTCTGGTTCTCTCAGTGAACCCATTTGGCAATATCTCATCCAAATCGAAATCTCGAGTTGTGTCCTCCGTCTGCTTCGTTCTCTCATCAATGGGTGGCTTCTTCACGACCCACAAGAATCTCTGCTCACTCCTTTCCAATCCATGAGCGATCTCCTTCAATTGCGCCACCGACATCGAGCCAAGGCTTCCAAAACACAGGTAAACAACACTTCTGCTCGGCTGCTTCTCAAGCCATGACAAACAGGTCCGGCTTTTTCCAAGTTCTGCTCCTTCTCCTTCTTCTTCGGTTCGATCATTTGACTCTGCAATTAGAGGCCCGATGTAGTAAACATGAGGTGCCTGTTTTGGATCAGGAAAGCACGTCCCTTCTGCTATAGCCTTAACAGCCATGGGCTCGAGCTCTTGAAACGTGTTAACAATGATGCCACTTGATTTAGGAAGATGGGAACAGAAATTCAAGAAGTCCCAGTAAGCTGGATCGTCTCTGTGAAGCGTTGGTTCTACCATGTGAAAGGCCTTGAGCGGGGGGTTAGCTGGGAAGTGAAGATCTACGGAGAGATCCTTGAAGCTCTTGGTGGTTTGCTCGTGAATTCTGGGAAAGTACGAGAAAGCAGAAAGAATGGCGGCTCCAGAGGTGAAGAAGTAGTAAACAGGGATCCCGAGAGAAGAACCTATGTTCATGGCGGATGTGCAGAACAGATCGATCACTAAAGCTCGAACATCGGAGGTTTGTGAGATGTCCTCGAGAGCTGAAGCCACGTTTGCGTAGTTCAGCCGAATGAATTCAAAGGCGGTGGCCGGAAGGCTGCGCGGCGAGGAGGCTGGTCCGATGGCAAGGAGAGGGAAGCGACGGAAGGAGATGGAGGAGCAGGTTTGAGAGATGCGACGGATGTAGGAATCAAGAGAGGGACTGTCGAGGAAGCCAGTGGTGAGGAGGATGGTTATGGAGACAGAGTGGGAATGGTGAAGAAGAAGCTTGGCGAGCTCAACCATGGAGACTATGTGGCCTGAGCCTGGAGCTGGATATAGGACTATGGCTTGTTCCATGTTTGAGAGGATGAGATTAGCTAAAGTGAGCAAAGGTCGGAGAGAAACAAGCTCTGACCCAACTAGAAAGAGATGAAGAGAAGCTAACTAATTCTTTAAGGCCAACAACATACGAGAGACATGAAGCTAGTAGCTAGATACGGAGAAACTAAACAGTCCATTTCGTTACTAAAAAACATAAAAACAGAGAAAAATGTCATGGAAAGATCCTTGTAGCTTTGCAATATCAGTTTTTTTTTCTTTTTTTAACTTGTTCATGAATTAATATCTCTACGTTAATTACATATTGTTACTTATTAATAGTTGAATGCCTTTGTTTTTTTATATATATTGGAGCAAGACTTATAAAATCAAATCAAACCTTTTAATTTTTATAACTTGTTAACACATGGATCTCTGCTTGTTAATTGCGCATAATAATTTATCAATAGCTGAATGTTTTCTTATTTATGTAGGAGAAACACTTATAAAATTAAACTAGCCTATGAGTTTTTGTAACTTATTTATAAATGAATGTCAGCTTATTAATCACGCATAATAACTTGTCAATAGTTGAATGTTCTATTTTTATATCAGAGTGAGGCTTGTGAAACACTATAAGGCAGTTAGGTGTTTTTCCTGCAAAATCTTAATTATTTTCAAATATGTTCCCGAAAGTACAGTAATATTTTAGAATTTTAGGCTCATTCTTTGATATTAAAATGTTAGAGGAGTCCTTAGATGATATTTTTCTTAAAAATTGAAAGTTAGTTGGATGACTCACAGGGAGGGCCGTTGCACCCAGTGGATTTTCCATTAGAGGGGGAGCTGGGTTCAGAGTTCGGGATCCGTTTAAAGTGCATATTGAATTATTGATGATTTTTTGTTGTTTTGTTGGAAGGGGAGAGCCCCCCGCGGTGGCGTTTCCATAGATTTCGTAAACTTTTGTCATCTTCTTCCTTTAATTTTATCCATATTAAAATTTCTCTTTTTCATATAAATTGGAATTTCCCCCGAGAATTGAAAATCTGAAGACTTGAAATTAATGGTTTCTGGCCTTTTTTTTTTTTTGATATGCTTTAAGAGAGTGTTTGGGGGGAAGTCTTAAATTAGTTCAAATTTAATTGTTCCTAAAAATATTCTCATTTAAAAAAACAAAAAGTAAAAACATTTCAAAGCTAATTTTATTTTCTTTGCTTTTAAAATAAACTACATTTCATTATTAAAAATTATAGTTACTTTGATCATAAGACACCATCATCGTTAACTTATTTTTTAATTCTAAAATTATTTTTAATTAACACAACCAAATAAATTTTTCTTTTATTCTGTTTTGTAAAATAATTTTAAAAAATTATTGCAAAACAATTTTTTAAAACAAAAATGATAATAAAAATCAAACAGGCCTTAATTCTCTCCTAAAAAAAACCATGAACTTAATAGCACCGATTTCACAAGTTAGTCGAAGAAGGCACATAGTTTACAATGACTAGTCTATTAAACTTACGATTTTATTTTAGCAAATTCACAAAGTGCTTTTTCTAAAATTGGCAAATAGGTCTTGGGGAACAGATTTCTACTATATATTGATGCAAGCACCCGGTACACATATGCAATTATTGGATCTGATGGTTTTTTTTTTAAAAAAAAAAATCTTCGTATTCTGGGATTACAGTAATTCTTGTCTCTTATCTATAGTAATTGGGGGTATTTCTGGGATTATAAAAAGAGTCGAAAATTCATGCCCTTCACATCTATGCAAAAATACAAAGGATGTCAAGGGCATTTCCAGTATTTCACATTTATTGGCCAAAGTAAAATATATATGACATCATGTTTGAAGTGAGCTTTTATCCTCCCGGTTCTACAATTGCCGGGATTGCATTCAGTGCAACAGGCTAGAAGGGTCCTTGTCCTCTGTTTCAATCTTTTGTTATTCATTTAAAGTAATTTTTTTAAATATTTTTAATATTATATTTATTAATATAAAAGATATAAAAAAATTTAAAAATTTAATATATCTATTAATTATCAATTTAGTTAGTATAGATTTAATTTAGCAATTTAATTTAATATTAAAAAATTATAATTTTATTATTTGACTATACAAATAGATTCTGTATAATTCAATTATAATTTAATAACCTAATTTAATATTAAAAAATATATAAATTTTATAAATTAACTGTTTAAATATATTTTAGATAGTTTAAATTTAATATTAAAATTTTTATATTTTTTATTTTTTAAAAATATAATATTAAAAATGTTCAAAAAATTAATTTAAATGAACAGTAAAAATTAAATAAAATTAAAATCAAGGGTCAAAATTATTCCTGACTTGATGAGCACGCGTTGCTCGTCACTACGATGACCAGCGTATGTAACACTACAATTGCCCTTTTTTACAAATATTTATGAATGTAAATACTTAACTTAATGTTTTCTTTTGCCGCACAAAAAAGATAAGGAAAAAAACTTGAATGTTTATTATTATTATTTTTTTTCCAGAACGTGTAACACAATGTTTTTCCCCACATAAAAGATAGGAAAAAGACTTGAATGATTATATATTTTTTTTTTCCTTTTGTTCATAATTCCTGCTATACATTTATACTCCAATGTAAAAGGGATATAAAATTATATTTTGTTTTATTTCAACACTTTATTTCAATTTATTTTTTTTGTTTTGTTTTTAAAAAAATTGGAAAAAATAAGGTGTTCAGAAATGAGAGGAGAAAAAAGAAAGAAAGAAATTTTGATGGTTTCTAATTAACTAATATTTGAAAACATCTTTAACTCTCCATGGACACGTCACCGGACAGAGTAAAAAGACAGAAGTTGTTGTAGTAAAAAGACAGAAGTTATTGTAGTAAAAAGCTGGTATATTACTGAAAAAGGACGTCAAAGTAGATAACATACGAAATGAATAAAACAGCAAACCAAATTACAAAAAAAAAAAAACTAATAAATAAACGAACTCTGAAATACAATTAGCCAACACCACTTCTCACGGAGATAGCATTTGAAGGCATAACGTAGGCCACTGCATCCTCAGCTAATAGGAGAGACAAAGAAGGTTATGATGAGGACACTCGTCCAATTGGAATCACCTCTTGGAGAGCAAGCGTGGTAATGAAATCAACTTCAGCATTACTTTCACTTGGAGCAAAGGCGAGAGAAAATCCAGCTTTGATTGCTAAGAGGTACACAATATCTTCTATTGTCCCTCTACATTTTCAGTCGCCAAGAGTAGGTTGACACTTCAGAATATAAGAGACAAGACTTAGACAATTAAATCTGAAGATGACATTGTCACAATTTAAGTCAAGAACAAGAAAAAGTGCTCTTTTTAAAGCAAGAGCTCGTACATTGGTTGCTTGAAGGAGCCAATTCAATTATGTTATAATCCTTCAGAAAAAGAATCAATAAAAGCTGATCCTAATCTTTTATCGGCGAGAATCTGGGGCCCTCAGAAACAATTTGTCTACTTGAAGGGCTCAAAGAAATATGAAATTCTTTTGTAGGCCCTTTTATTCAATTAAAGGTTTTACTAAAATGCCAAAAATGCCCCTGCCTTTCCTTTAAAAGAAACGTCATCATTACCTGTGGTTGAGGCTCTGAGGCTATCACTAGAGCCGGTAATTTGGGCCGAGCCCGACGGGCCAGCCCGAACCCGCCCGAAAAATTTAGGGCCAAGCCCGAAAAAAATATTATTATTTTATTGTTCGGGCCTATTCGGGCCGCCCGAATAGGCCCGAGGAAATTCGGGCCAAGCCCGATCGGGTTCGGGCTTGACCCGAATACCCGAATAAAAAAATAAATTTTTTAAAAAATATATAAAATATAATAAATATTAATTAATTTTTCAAGTTTTATATCATTTTATACCAAAATACTATATATATATATATATAAAAGTGTTTTAACGTAGTTACTTTTTTAAAAAAATTAAAAATAATTATATTTCATATTTTTATTATTTTTAATCAATAAAATATCTTAAAATAATATTTAAAATATATTTTAATATTGATTTTAATATTTTAAGACCCAATTTTTGTTAAAAAAAATTTTTGAGTCCTATAAATCATTTGAATATAAAAAATAAATTTATATTTTTTATAAATTAAGATAATTAATTTTAAAATAAAAATAAAAATAAAATTTAGGCATGTACAAATTTCTGACTCTACTACTACATAAACATAATAAATAGAATAATATTCTTAAATAATTATTTGGTTATTGTCCATGCTAGATTTGGTTAAAAATTAAAGGTAAACTAGAGTAAGAATTCCTTTTATGTAAGAGTAAAACAATATAAAAAGTTAAAGAAAAATAATTTCAAAAAAATAATATTTTACTCATAATTAAATAATTTTTTTATATAATATAATGATGGCAATTTTTTTTATATTTATAAAAATGAAAAGTACAATTTACCTAAAAGTTATTAAAAACTTTGAACTAATCGAGATAATAATTTTAAGTTAGTAGTCTAATTGTGATTGAATTGAGATCAGCTTAATCATAATTAAAATAATATAATTTAATTAAAATATATAAAATATTTATATATGACTATGATAAGAGCAATATTTAAACAACTAAGACATTAATTTACAAGTAAAGAAAACATTCATGAATAAATTATACATAATACAACAAAATAATAACAGAGCTACTTAAATACAAAGTTGATCAGTTATTTTTTATTTTATTCTTTTAAAATTAAGATAATATTTTACGCTTAATAAAATTATTTAAAAGTTAAAATTGGTTTAAAAAATAAAGAAAAAATATTTTTAAAAAGTTTCGGGTATTCGGGCCAGCCCGAATAAGCCCGAAGCCCGAAGGTGTTAGGGCCGGACTTGGCTATATGGGCTTTTTAGAAGGGGTATGATGCTTTAAGCCCGATCCGAATAAGCCCGGCCCGAATAAGCCCGGCCCGCCCGAATTACCGGCTCTAGTAATTTGAGTCGAACTCGACGGACTAATCCAAACCCGTCCAAAAAAATATTATTTTTTTATTGTTTGGGCCTATTCGGGCCGCCCGAATACCCGAATAAAAAATAATTTTTTAAAAAATATATAAAATATGATAAATATTAATTAATTTTTTAAGTTTTATATCATTTTATATCAAAAT